GGGGACGAGAGGCTCCAGATAAGGCGCTTGGCCGTTCGTCATGCTACACGCAAACGATTTAGGATTTTAGAATGCTTCCCAAAAGTTTTAGGATGCTTTTAAAACTTTTAACGGTCCTTGATCTTGAAATGCTAGATGAAGGCATGGCTCTATCACCTTGATTTGTTTGAAGGAGTCGATATATTTCAGAATCTCTAAAAAAATGTTGGAAGTCTGAAAAAGAAGCTTATTTCATTTTGACTCACTTTGTAACTCATGTGAATTCAAAAATATTTCAAAACAAATTCTTGAAGTTCCTTCCTTCATTCTTTCCCCTTTCCGCTGGCTCCATCCTCGCAGACGTGTCGAAACTTTCGAAAGTTTTTTGCCTATTTTGAAAGAAGTATATTGTTACAATTACCTAAGCCCTCGTTTTCGAGTAGAAGAGTTTCCGTGTTCAAAAAAATGTTATGTAGAATGTAAGGTGAATTTTTGTGATGTCCTTTTACTTACTGATTCTTGATACTTACAGGCAGCCGCCTCATGTACAGCCACTATATGTCCATTCCTTTACCTCGATATCAAATACTATGTCAACTTGGTGCCAATATGAGGCTCTAAAATATGTGTCTTTCCCTACTCAGGTACATCTTCATATCAAAAAGTAGAGGACGACTCCACGCTTTTTCGTACAATTTTGATGCTCTAAGGTGAAACTATTCCCATCTATTGAATATTTAGACAATTTGCAAAACCTCTAAAGTAGTGGTGACGATGCTGATGGGTTTGGTACTGCGTGGACAAAGATACACCTGGCAAGAATGGGGTTGTGGTGGGGCTGTGGGTGTGGGTGCTAGCCTTTTTCTGCTAAGCAGTGGCCGAAGTCGTGCTGAAGGGGTTGTGACGTCGGTAAGTTCCAATTACTTTGAAATTCGACGAAGGTAGCAAAAACAACTTCTCTTTCAGATCTCCGGTATGCTATTGATGACCGGATATTTATTATTTGATTCTTATACGTTGAACTACCAAAAGAAGCTTTTTGACAAAAAACCAAAGATCTCAAAATACCAGGTAAGCGCTTCCATTGAAAAATCTGAATGTGTCAAACGTCTGATTATCAAACTTTGAAGTCATTACGCAAATCAAATCTGTGTTATTTTAGATGATGATGGGTGTGAATGTGTTCTCAGCAATACTTTGTGCTGTTTCCCTTATTGAACAAGGAACTCTGTTTTCATCTATAGACTTTGCTCTTC